TTTGGTTTGGAGTGACTGAGCATATTAGGATTTAGTGCATCGAACACAAAAGTAAAACTGAAAGCGACTCATCATAAACCTTCAGACAACAAGCTGACTCGAATGGTTGCCACCATAGTGGTGTCATAAGGATTCTTGCAGCCACCCAGCTTTCTGTAGAAATTCTACACATATTAATACAAACAGTCTAAAAGTAGCTCATTGTTAGTTTCCTCTTTCCATCTTACTGGTTTTCCTGCAGGCTTCGCCCCCCTCCCAGTCTTCCCAGAATAATAGTGTGTCCACATGTGTTTGTGTTACAGTTACACACTGGAGGAGAAAAAAAAAGAATTTTTGGATGATCTTGGCGACACACAATCGAATACAGTCCATCTGAATTAAAGCCGCTGGTTTAAGTGAAATGCACTCGATTCACTTGACGGCACCTTGAAGTGTTTATTTACCCAAATATAAAAGATTAAAAAACATCATTTAGTCTTTAGTTATCGTCGCTGAATTTTCTCTGTAGTTCTACTAAAAAATAAAAACCTGGTTGAGTCGCACCGGAAACATCTGAAGAAGAAAGAAGAGGAGGAGGAGGAGGAGCAAACCTGATGTTTGCTCTTCTGCTGGTATCAAAACACCAGTTTAAAGCAGTGATGCATGATGTTGAAATGTCTGGCCGATACCGATATCAAGATTTCTAATATCGCCGATAACCGATATCACCGATGTCGATAATCAATATTTGTTCACGCCGAAAAATAAGTATGAGTCAGCACTGTGAGAAAACTATTCAAAAGAATCCCAATTAGACAACGTAGTCTTCTTTATTACGTAACAAAAGTAAAACATGTTTAAACATATTTCAGTCCAGGACCATTGAAGTAAAAACATCTGTGACATAACAGCAAACGTAGAGACGAAGGCGCTGACGTCAGACAATCATCGACTAAATTAGTTCATCGGACCGATACCGATATGTCAGAAGAAACACTAATATCGACCGATACCGATGTGGTCGCTGATATATCGTTCATCCCTAGTCTAAAGGCACAAAGTGTAACTTCAAGTGGACAGAATCCACAAAATGCCTTCACCAAAGCAGAAAGCCACATGTGTTTAGATTTATTATACTTCCACTACGGTTAAAACACTTTTTACAGCGTGATGATGACACAACGTCGACTGGCTGCAGGAAACTGGTTTTACATGCAGATTTTTTTCTTAATTAATTTGGGAGCAGCTGCACAGCGTTCTGTACATTTTCCTGTGGGGGGTCTGCATCACAGCCTTCAGCCTTTTCACCCGGATGACTCAAGCATTAGTGAGTGATTACCGCCCCCTACTGGAACACCAGCAAACTGCACCTCACAGGTGACGCTGAAAACATCCCTGACAGTGTGTGTGTGTGTGTGTGTGTGTGTGTGTGTGTGTGGCTGCTGAGGTTTATTACACCAGCACACTCAGGTATTTGCCATTTCCGGCTGCTCACACCCACCGTGGTTATCAGCTGAGCAGACGCCTCCACACCTTCTGAGACATCCAGACACAGAGCTCAGGGGAAAAGTCCCAATGAGGAAATAAAGCTCCTCTGCATTATAAAAGGGAGCAATAACAAAGTCACTTATTTATTTTTATTCTTATTTTTACAGCTTTGTCTTGGTGCGTGCTGTGACAACTGGTCACTATGCAGTTATGACACGACAGCAGACCTTTGAACACTTGCGTAATAGAAATCAATACATCGACACCCTGTCAGGATTCGATGTCCTCGTGTCTAAACAAAGACTCAGCAGACGGTAGAACAGATATTGGAGAGCTGACAACAGCATCTATTGTAAACAACTAAGAGCTTTTAAAGATATATTAACACGAGACTGAATTTAAAGCTTCAAGTGTAATAAAAGCAAAGTGTGAATCGTTCTGATAGACACCAACGAACAGCTCTGGTGTGCGGCTTCAGTTGTTCTTTCACCAGCAAAGCAAGAAAAGCCCAAGAAGACTGAAATGTTCTCAGAAATAATCCTCTATTTTAACACATTTTTGTCTTTTCTTGGAGCCTAACAAGTTGAATCAAAGTCAAATCGTTGTTGTAGAGTTTCAACACACCGTATAGCGATTCAGTTTATCCTAATTTCAATTCCACGTCTGAATGTCTGAATGTCTGAATGTCTGAATGTCTTGAAATGTGTCTTCATTGATTTCAGGGCCTCATGCTTCAAACCAGATGTTGTGATTTGTTTTAAAGTCAAACATCAGTTCAGTATTCATTGTGTGATCATTTTAAACGTGATTATTAAAACATATAATACCATCAGAAGTGTGACTGTCACACCAGGAAGACTAAAAATTTCCATCTTTGTGATTTGCTAGTTGCATTGTTTGAAATTGAGCTTTTGATTTTAAATGAATTTTTCAACATCCCTCTCCTTGTAGTTCTGTTTTGGTCTGTAGTTTATTCATTTATTTTTCTCTTCAGCATCTAAAACCTTCTGGAAACAAGATCAGTGACACTAAAGCAACGTTAAAATTCCAGGTTGCCGTTTTTCAGATGGTAATTTAAAGTACTGCTCCTTTTACTAAATCCTTTATACAAAACTAACTGAAGTTACGAGCTGATGTCTTCCAAGACAATCTCACTACTTTTGTAAATAATGAGACAGAAACACAAAATAGAACCATAAGACAAAACATTTATGAAAATAAAGTTGTTTTTCGTGGACATCTGTGTCGGTTCTCCATCTTGTCAGGATGGGTTCTGTTGTGAAAGGCCGACCCTCCTGTTCTCATCATTATTCACCACAACTGGAACTTTAACCACAGAGCAAACGGAAATACTTTCCCACTGGGATTCAAATACCAATCACACATGTCGCAACGCCGCTCCGTGGCCCGAGCTACGATTTATGGCCAGTTAGTAACGATGTGGTACAGCAAAGCATGGCATATAAAAAGCAATCATCTTTGGGCCGCCGAGCGCTGAGCTGCACAAGGAATCCACTATGGACTGCAGTGAGTTAAAGCCAGCGGAGGACAGTAAGAGGGTTCAGCCCGGGATGAATGGGCATCAGTGCAGCAAAACAATAGCAGCAACAGCAGGCTAGCAGGCCACACAGCTTCTGATTCATACAGTCCCACTGCTTCTGTCCCAGCAGAGGGGAAACACAAACAGCTCCATTGTTGGAGGCTGATACAGCTGTCCTCACAGCAACATCAGCACAAGCCTACATGCTGTAAAGCCACCGGGACCAAACGCTGAATAAATCTCACTGTACATGCAGAGCCGGGCTGGAGGGGGAAGACACTGCAGTGTTTCAGAAAAGCAGATTACAAACCTAACATACAAACACACCTCCATCCACAGAGAGCGCAGCGCTGATATTTATAGTTCATTATTTTTGCAACCTAATTCCATCAACAAGACGAGACAAGCGCTGACAAGGCAGCAGCAGATTGTGGTTTACATTCAAACAAACATAATGGCTTGTTTTCATACCATTCATCCAGGAAGATGGGATCGAAACAGACATAAGTGATAGCAAAGCATCTTCCTCAGGCTCCTAAAGGGCCAGTGGGTCTTCTGAAACCCGCCCAGGCATACCAAGACGGAGCATGATAGATCATTAAAAGTAAGAAAAACTGCTTCTCTGCTGAAATTCAGGCAGTATTTGTGGCCAGCCAGGCACAATAAAAACGCTGGATCATTAAGGGTCAGACTGAACCAAATGGAAGCAGTAACTCTGAACTGTGGCACTGAAGGTTTACTTATTAGCTGGATTCAGTGCTTCAGCTCCACAGTTCACGTACAGGTTAGTCTTATAGAAGCGTCTGTTTGCAGTAGCTCAGCACTAACCAACCAGAGAGCACGATGGAACCAGAGGAGGACACGGTGGATGATGGAAAACCACAAATCCTATTAATTCTTGGAAGAGATCAGCTTTGTGAGGTTATAAATTAACAGTGAAAACAGCCAAAGCTTCATGCTGACCACGTTATTTATGGCGACACTAAAACCTCCGTCCAGCTCTGCATTTTTATGGATTTTTTTGATCTCTTGGCCAAATATCATAAAAGCAGGTGCACATGAAACATTTTATGAATATGGCTCAGATGGTGCTGCGATTCACTGGCAGGTAACATCTCTGACAGTTCAGCACATCTCACTACCTGCAGACCTGTGACTGGATCTGTTCCTTATGAGCTGAAGACATCTGCTCTGATCTTAACAGTTGGAGCAAAGTTCACGTCTCACAAGTCCAGGCTCCTCAGCTGCATGTTTGCACAAGCGCTCTACAGAGCTGCAAGATAAGACCGAGTCAAGCGAGGCCTCCCGTCTCTGTAGGGTCGTGCCTGAACAGAACGCACCAACGGGAAGGCCGACAAGTATTTGGATCCATGTTTGGTTGAGGAGTGTGGAAAGTGAAATGTGGACTTAGGCTTTGGCAAACTTTGAGTTACAGCTGCAGCTCTGCAGAGATCCATCTGGAAGTCAGTAAGGAGACGGGCTGTGGTACCAAATGCCTGGAAGTCTGTTCAGAAACTGTTCCTGCATGCTGAGCAGAGTTCTGCTGTGAAGTGAGTGGTGTTCTCCAGAATGACAGAACAAAAAAAAAAACATGCCCTCCAGCCTGCAAATGCTTCCACAACAGGTCGGGACTCGTCCCTGGAAGCCTTCATTCCTGCTGAGCAGCCAGTCAGTCAGCAGTGGGGAGTAAACACGGGCTGTAATGTAGGTGTGTAGTGCAGTCTGGGTATTCCACGCTTTCCCAACCACGCTGACAAAAACACAGGATGGATCAAGTACAGGACCACTAGGTCACAACACTGACTCACTGATTGGAGACGCACCAGGACGCACGTGGAAGCTTCTATTTGGACACCTTGTTATAAACATCAGATGATCAAAATCAGTCCAGATAAAAAGCACAAAATTAAAGCAGCAGTGGAGCGGATCCAGTGTAACAGCTCTATTGTGCTGTATTGTGAAAACTGCCCCCCAACATTCCCCATGAACCCACCTGTTTCAAACGGCTCCGGAAAATCCAAACTGCGCTGTTTCCGACGAAAAGCCACTCTGCTGAAGCCGTCCATGGTTCTCCGATGTGCCGACCGCTCACGCATTCGGACCTTTGAGTGAAAGTGTTTTTTTCTAATAAGAGCGAAAACAAGTGAGAAAAGTTAGGAGCAGCACAATCCTCCTCCTCCTCCTCCTCCTGCTCGTAGTAACCGCGTCCAGCTGCGCGTCCGGCCCATGCGCGCCTCAGCTCACCCTGTCAATACATTACATAAAAACTCTGAAGGGAGTTCAGTAGAGTCCTGCACACACACACGAGACACTTCGGTCGACTAGATCCACACATCTCCCTCCACTGTCACCTTACTGGGGGTGTTTCCTCTCCTGGAGCCCCGCCCGCCTCTCAGACCTCCATGTAATCAGACAATGTCCACAGTGTGCCACGGTGCCCGCTGGATGCCACCTCCACACGCACAGAAAGCATGTGACAAACTACAAGTAAAGTTCCTATCAGGATCAGCTTTAATGGCCAAGTATGTACACAACATACATGGAAATGGTTCCGGCTGTTGGGAATGAGCAAGGAAAAGAAAAACAAAAACTATAGAAAGAAAAAAAAAAGAAAAGAATGAAAATAAAATAAAATAAATAATAATAATTATAAATAAAGTAAGATAAATATAAACAAGAATATGCACATCTAGCAGAAAAAAATATATGTACAGTGGTGAAAAAAATGAAAAGAAATGCAAATAACAATGTAAGCAGTCCCAGCGTTGTGGCTGAGAGTGGATCAGCTGCTCAGTAGAGTCATGACAGTGGGATGAAAACTGTTTTCATGTCTGGTGGTTTTAGTCTGCTGGACTCTGTATCACCTGCTGGAGGGAAGGAGGGAGAACAGGTTATGACCTGGATGAGTGGAGCCTGTGATGATGTTCCTGCTCTCTCTCTGGTTCTATTGGAGCACAGGTCCTGGATGGAGGGCAGGGGGGCTCGATCCTGGTTCTACTGGAGTACAGGTCCTGGATGGAGGGCAGGGGGGCTCCATGATCTTCTCGGTTGTTCTGACTGTGCTGCAGCCTGTTCCTGTCCTGCAGTGTGGCTGCTCCAAACCACACAGTGATGGAGCTGCACAGGACAGCTTCTGCTGAATCAGCAGCTCCTGGGGCAGGAAGTACATCCTCTGCTGAGCCTTTTTGAGGATGCAGCGGATGTTCTTCTCCCACTTCAGGTCCTGGGTGATTGTCGTCCCCGGGAGCTTGAAGGACTGTACGGCTGACACAGGGCTGTCTCCTGAAGTCTACTCTCATCTCCACAGTCTTCAACTCCAGGTTGTTCTGGCTGCACCAAAACACCAGCCGCTCAACCTCCTGCCGATATGCAGACTGGTCACCATCCTGGATCAGGCCGATGACTGGAGTGTCGTCTGCAAACTTCCAGAGTTTGACAGCTGGATGCTTGGAGGTGCAGTCGTTGGTGTAGAGGGAGAAGAGAAGCAGAGACAGGACACATCCCTGGGGGGCGCCAGTGCTGACAGTCCGGGTTGAGGAGGTGATGTCTCCCATCCTCACCTGCTGACTCCTGTCTGTCAGGAAGCTGGTGATCCACTGACAGATGGATGGAGATACATTGAGGAGGGAGAGTTTGGTGGAGAGGACTCCAGGGATGATGGTGTTGAAAGCCGAGCTGAAGTCCATAAACAGGACCCTTGCATATCTCCCAGGGCCATCTAGATGTTGCAGGATGTAGTGCAGCATCATCCGCTGACCTGTTTACCTGATAGGCAAACTGCAGGGGGTCCAGCAGAGGACCTACTGTGGACCTCAGGTGGCTAAATTAAAAGAGTAACTTTATTTAGTGAGAGAAATAATATGGAATTTAAGAATATTTTACCAAAGAGAGGATAAAGCAGTCAGTTGAGCCTTTAATGAAGTTAGTAGAAAACTAATTGGAAACTTCTTTTTGTTCTTATCTTTATGTTTAAGCTGCAGACCTGGAGTAAGGAAATAAAAAAGGTTAATAGAAAACAAAAGAACACTGTCAGAAACAGAACAATCTGATGACCTTCTCCTGATCAGATGTTGCTGATGTCTCCTCCACAGTCTAGAGTCACTACTTAAGACCCTACCATACTGTTTATTATGAAAATGTACCTGTAGCTATTCAGGTAAAAGCTCTACAATACTATACAGTCATCCTCAAATGTATTTTTAAAGAAGAGACAAAATTCACAACAGTCACTCGAATAACTAGAAACTGAAACAAGTAATAATAAATACAAATTTGCAAAATTATAATTTATTGAAATAAGATGTTGCTTTTGAATTGTGGTTGAAAAGAATAATTTAAAAAAACAGAAAACTGTCCTGGATAAATTAGAGCACTTTGCTGATGAGCAGTGGTCCAGAACACCTGTCAACAGGTGCAGAAGTCTGACTGAGAGTTACAGGAAACACCTGATGGCAGTGATTGGGCTCAGGGAGGGCGACCGTCTGCCTCCACTGGTTAGGTTCAGGGTGAAGGGGAGATAAAGAAAAAAAAATAAAAACACAGCAGAGACAAACAAGAAATAAGATGATATTAGAACTGTACAAATACCTCATGTTCTGTTGAAAAACATGGCGAAAGTCTGGCAGCAAGGGTGCAAAAATAAAGCTAGATATTTCAAAATAAAATGACTTTTTTTGTTTTTTTAGGTAATTTGAGTAATTTTGCTTCCGCACATAGTAGAGCGAAATCCTTTTTGTGAAAACACTTTTGATGTGGATGTTATTCACATTTTTGCCCTGTTTCTTTTTTACTCTTTTGTCCGTGCTTTTATTGTGTATTATCTGTAATTCATCAGATCTGTCAAAAAAAAACTGTTTCTGCTGCTTTAAAAACAGCAAAAAATACATAAATGAATCAATAGTGTAATTTTACAGTTCAACATTATATAAATGATTTACTAGTTGTAAAAATACTGATTTTAAATGTGGACATTATTTATGCTTTTACGCTGGTTTACGTCTGGTGTGTAACTTCATATTTTCTTCCATGATTGTACTTGACGTTATCAGTGTGTAACTAACTGCTGTATGGCTCTGTGCTGGTTTAAGCCACCAGCCTTTGCATTTAACTGCTTGTACTTTAAGGTGGCGCAGAAGGATTAATGTCAAATCCCAAAGCTTCAGCCTATCGTCTGCTGATCCCCGCAGGTGACGAGAGACAGAAAAAGACACAAACACAAAGTCACATACGAATCCAAGGACAAGTCGTTTATTTACTCGTGAAACCAGTTAAACACTGTTTTGAATGGCGGAGAAACCCACTGTAGTACAGCATACAGCTAGCCTTCTCTTTAAACCGTGTTTTTTCTTTGTTTTTTCTTCTTCTTTCTCTGCAGTCAGTGGATTAGTCTCTCTCCATCCACGGCTATATTGTGCAAACAAACCATGAGAGTTAGATCACCAACGATCCCGCTCAGAAGGACCACAAATGTTTTCATCACTTTGCGGCTGCAGAAGCAACCGTGTACGGCGGTAACACAGACAAATCCAACAAATGCACACAGAGAACAGGAAGAGTCCACTCATTCATTGCTGCTGCAACAGAAACGCTGTCATCACAACACTAATACTGGCTATGTAGTTTGAAGCTATCCGTTTCATATCCGTGTGGCGAAAAGTATTCAGTGCAGCGAAGAGGAATTTAACATTAGAGACGTTATGAGGGTATAAGAAAGATGGGACTTGAATAACGCAACGGACGTCACAAGTTACGTCCATCTCAGTGTTTCACAGAGAAACGAGATCTTGGTTTTGTCACAGGAAGTTGACAGTAGTGCTCTGACTGTGCCATGTGTGGTTTTTTTCCTCTCACTCCTACGGTTTCATCTGTCTTGCTGGTTGGTTCTTGCACGGTGACGGAAACGGTTGAAAGAACGAGTGAATCTTATCCAGATCAGTCTATAACCGGTGCTACTGTATTGCTCCAATGCATAGTGCATAATTGTGCTTGGACAGTACTGCATACTGTTTGGAGGAAGCATGTGTGGACATCTAAACGACAACAGGTACGTGGAGCCGGAGAAAATGTCAATTTGATCGACGTTTCTGTCAGCGTCGTGGTGAGCAGAGCTAATTGTAATAATGACGGTTTTCTGGGTTTCTGACTGAACGAGAGGAAGAAAGAATGCTTTATCCTGTGAGTACATGAGGATGACAGTAACTCAGGGAGACCTGTGGGGAATCCTCTGATCATTAACTAATGTTAAAAAGAAGGAGGTCAGTTCACTTCATGGTCACTTAAACCTGTGCAATTCAAAAGGCAAACACCCAGGCCAACAGCCCTAGTCCTGATCTCAAACACTCAGCCTCTCATCTATCCCAGCCTCCGAGGAGACCTGAGCTCTAACAGACACGAACGCATCAATCACCAGAGTCTGCTGTAAAAAATAAACACAATAAATAAAACCATAAGGAGGTATAAAATAGTCTTTATACTTTTGATTTGCAAAAAAATCTCTGTGTAAAAAAACACAAGCATCCCAAGGAGGACTATTGACGTTAGAAAGGTAGTTGAAATCCACCCGTCACCACCACCACCACAAAAAACGATGTTCCTGTAATAAAACGGTTCATTAGTCTGTTTGCAACTCAGTGTACTCTAACACGTCTACGTAAAAATGGCATATATGGTTGATTTTTTTTGGATCGTTATACTGACAAAATCTAATATTTTAAATGCTGTATAGTACGATGAGGCGAGGTTTAAAAAGAACGTCGTCATAAAGAAGTCCTGCTTTTGTTTGTGTGGTTTTGTCTTTTTGTGTGTGTGTGGAACCGAACTGGCCGTGAACAGCAGTCAATGTGCTAAACCGTCTCTGATCAGCAGGAAAACCTGATTTCCATCTTGCAGAATGACACAAAGCCCCCCGACAGAAAAACATACAAGTAATAAATATCTCAGAAATAAATAACCAATAAATTATAAATAAATACTAGTAGGAATTAAGGGGAAGAGTCCAGTGCGTTGTCACTGACGTTTCAGCCTCAGTTCAATCCTCCGCTTTTGTTTTTCTTTTTGTTTTTTTTTTGTTTCCAGGACCGGAAGCCACTTCCAGAGAGGAGGAGGAGGAGCGCGTCCTCTTCTGCGACCCAGGTAACCAGGAGGCCTGCCGGAGCCGGGCCACGCTGCGCTGTGGGGAGGTTCACAGAGTCCAGGAAGCACCAGGTTGGACTGCTGGGCTGAGGGGAGTCAAACCGAGGGAACTCCCCGTCCAGGGTGTCTCTGTCTCTGCAGGACTCCTACCAGACCGAGGCCCGGGGCCTGTGGGCTGGAGCGGCGGTGGCTAGGTGCCGGGAGGGTGGGGTTGCTGGGCCAGGCAGTTACGGGGGTCGCAAGGGGAGAGAAGGCTCCTGCTGCTGGACAGGACTACTGGGTGATCCTGGAGGTCTGCCACAAATTTAGGACTGGAAGGAGGCAGAGACACAGGAGAAGAGAATAAATGAGTGAGTGTGAACAGGGAAGGTGATTCATGGCTGGAAGGACAAAGTTATACAAATATAGGAACAGAAAAAAAGCAGCATGTGTCAAGAGTGTGAAGCCTAAAGTGGTTTCCTTAAAGAAAAGCTGGAAAAACATTTCAGCTTTCATGCCAAGAGTTAGATGAAGATCGATATCACTTGTGTCTGCAAATCTGACACCAGCAGGAGCCGGTTAGCTTAGATGAGCACAAAGACTGGAAACAGCGAATAACACAAGTCAGAAAGTTCATGGAGAGTCCTGGATTTACAAATGGTTATTTTATGCAGCTTTTTTTTGTATAAACTAGATCCAACCAGTGAATTTGTGAAGTGCTTGTGTCACACTGGGATGTGGCCAGAGCCAGCTGACCGTTACAGGCAGCTTCATGTTCAGTAAAAAGACATGAAAGTGATGTCAGTCTCCCATAAGGCTCAGGCAACAAAGCAAATATGAATATTTTTCAAAAAAGTTCCAAACTTTTCTTTTAAACCACTCCAGCGACAAAGGAAAAGGCATCAGGACAAAGTGATAACATTACAAAGAAAAGCAGCTCAACCAGCACAATAACAGAACCAAACACAGCATCACATCTGTCAGCAGCTGCTTTCTAGGAATGTCTCAGTTTACTGAGAAAACAATGAAGGCCATCAGCTCCCTGTTGGCTGACTACCACCACGTTATCGTCTCAACGCAGCACTAAAACCACAGACTGTAAGTCCATAGCTTAAGCTAACAGACCCTCCTTACAGCCGACCTCTTGACTTGTCAAACACAAGTTTAATTAATGATGCTAATTATAGATGGTAGCTATCTGACAAGGCTTACTGTGACTCATTTCTGTTATTATTGCAGGCACACCTACGCTGTGGAAATTCAAAATGTCTGCCTTAAAAGAAGCCAGAGAAAGAGAAAGAGAAAGAGAAAGAGAACGCTACAGTGCTCATCTGAATGAATAACTTTCATAATATCCTGTTTTTAAACTCCAGGAATAACAAGGAGAACTAAGACTAAATATAGAAGCATGTCTACAAAACTGCCATGCAAAACTATTCATGCAAAGTGAAAAGTAATTCCTTCACGCCGTCGCCCAGTCAGAAGTGTTAATTATTCCTGCAACACAAGTGTTTTGGTGAGAAATCACTCCTCAGTGTGAGACATGCAGGATCAGTTGTATAGATGCAGGAGAGCTACTCTAAAGAATGTGAAAAACTCAATCTATGCAACAAAGAGGGTGTGATCGGCTGCAACTAGAATTTCATGATAGAAAGAAAGACAGACAGATAGACAGTTGGTGAGCCTGCTTTACTTCTAGCAGGTTCTACTGCTGGTTACCTGCGGGCTACGGAGCCTCTCCCTCGCCTTAGTTGTGGGGAGAGTGGCGGTACTGAGGCAGCAGGCTGCTGACAATCTACAAGAAACTGATAAATTAGACAGATATACAGTGGTGACACTCGGAGTCAGACAACAGGACAGAGAGAAACAGGGTGGACGAGACAGGGGGAGGCCTTGTCAGGGACAGAGAGACTGAACGCTACAGTAGCTGAAGCAACATAGCTGCTGCTGCTACTGTATGTCAGTCAATGTAAGCCAGTTAGGCTACGCTGACAGGACCGCTCTGTGCACGGCTACACGAAAACACAAAACCCCCACAGGACACACACACACGCACACACACACACATTATTGCCAATCCAATGTTGTATTGATTTGCAAAAGCACATAAAGAGAAGGACAGATATAGCGGCACAAACGACCAACAATCCTGCTCAACTTCAACACACCTACTCCTCCAGATGTGCTTATTCAGTCACTGAGGTCTTGGTTCCTTAACATTTAAAGGGTTTTACTTGTGATATACATAATTATCTGGAACAGGGAGCGAGAGAAAAGGTCAAACAGCATTTGACAGGAATGGGGAGCACACATATGTGATCCAACACTGCCATCTAGTGGGGAAAAACTGGTGACACTGCAAAAAAGGTGCGTTGTTCACCAGCATGGGAGTGCACGGCTTTGATTCGACTCCTTCCTTGTTTCAGATGCACCCTGAGCAGGGTGAGGCACAGAGAGGAGGTCCGACTGGTTTCCAACAACACATTAACCAACAAACACAACCTGTCAAATGCTTTTTGAAAAAAAAGCTTAACGAGACAAAATAAGGCATGCACTTATCCCACTTAAAGGTGTAATTCACTAAACCTGCCACAGAGAGGCGCTCTGAGTCACTGAAACAGAAGCAGGCGCTGCAGCCATTTTTGCTTGGTTGCTACTTTGCAATACTTCCTCGTACTCTTGGAGAATAACACATGATGTAAGATTCTACAGCAGCAGCGACTCTCATGAAAACAAAGATGGCTGACATTAAATTGATAGCCGTATGTTAAAAAACTCTCTGTAGAAGTCCGACTTAACGATGGCAAAAAGGCCGTCGGGAGCTGTTTTGAGGATGGAAGCTGGGTGTCAGGGACTCCTTCTTCCTCAGTGTTGTTCAAACCAAAGACACATTAAACCAGTTTGTCCTTCTCTCTGCGTCCCACCTAATCCAGAGGCTTCTGCAAACTCAGTTAATATTGTTGCCGGCTGTGGCCGTGACGATCAGTCACCGCCTTCTCCGGAGGAAAGATGACACCGAGGCAGGCCTACAGGTTCTGGGTCTGTGAGACGGCTGCTGTTGACCTGTGTCTTGTCTTGAGTAAATGAGCCGTCTGAACTCTAGCGTGAGCCGCTCAGGGTCTGCTAGGACGGGCCGAGACAAGTCGTCATTATGCAGAGCTGAAGCTGAGGTCTGGATTGTTTCAGAGTCGGAGTCTGACGTCCACACAGACATGGACGGACAGGAGGCTAGCTCTACAGAGGGAGGACTACTGAGGGTCAGGGAGGCGTTCAGGGTGTGGGTGGTGATGATGGAGTGGCTGTGGAGCCTGGTGGGACTGGGGGGAGCTGTGAAGGCACCTCTGTGACTTACTTTAGGCGGGCTGCTTTTTATCTTGGGCACTTTAGCGCCACGGCCACGGTGCGTCTGCTCGTGGTCAAACTCCAGATCCTCCAGGCGCTGGGTCAGTGCCAGTTTCTGCTGGATGGCCATACGGAGGAGGGAGTTCAATGTCTTCTTCTCATCCTCTGCTGCTGCTAGCTGCCTCTGCATCTCATCCAGCTGGGTCACGTACTCATCACACCTACACAGAGACAAAGAAAACAACAACAAAGATTTAGCGAACTACCAACTGCATCTTAGCAGTTTCATATTTCCAGAGTCTGTCTCACCTGGTGGCGAACATGGCCCTGAGGGAGGAGAAGGTGGCAGCGTCTTCTTTCAGAGCCTTCAGTTCATTCCTCAGCTTCATCATCGTCTCCGTCACCATGGACTTCTCATTCTCGTACTTGCTCTTTAGGTTAGCCAGCGCGACTTCTGCTGTCTGCAGAGGTGAACACGTTAGATTCAATCATTCAGTTTCCATGGAAATGACACTTGCAGGCTTTTTAATACTGTATTAACTGCAAAGAAAAATCCCTTTTTACCTGCTTGTTGGCCTTGAGCACCAGCCTGAGCGTGGCTATCTGCTCTCTCTTGGTACTGAGCAGGGACTTGAGCTTCAGTATCTCCTCCATGCAGGACTCTTTATCCTTGTCGAGCATCGGCGCGAGCTCCCTGGCTGCAGCCCTCTGCCTGGACAGCTGCAGTGAACGGTCGACAGCCCTCTGCAGGTGTTTGATCTGGTCTCTGATGATGGCGTTCAGGTTGTAGATATTCATTGGCTCCTTCCGCAGGTCCCCACCTGCATCCGAGGGCACCGGGGATGGGCAAGGGGAGATGCTGATGGCTGGGGAGCCAGTGTGGTTGCGCGTGGGGCTGCTGTGGCAGGATGGAGAGTCTGCTGAGTTGGTTGTCGTCTCACTGTGGTGAGCGTCTTTGGATGGGGAGTCCATGGGACTGCGTGGGGACTCGGAGGAGCACGCTGCAGCTGCTGCAGCGAGGCGCCGGGCCAGGCGAGGGGAGAGCAAAGCCCGGGGATCTTCTGAGCCTTTGAGGCTGCCGCTGCGTGTGATGCGGCTCTGCCGGTAGTAGTCCAGCATGACGCGGTTTGGCGTCTCGTTGTTGCACAGGCAGACGTGGTGGTAGAGCTGTGCCAGTTCCTCGCTGAAGGTCACCAGCTCGTCCTGCGCTGCGTTCAGCATGCCCTGGCTCTCTGTGGCGGTGCTCGTGGCTGCTCGGAGCTCGGCCTCCAGGCTGGCCACCCTCTCCCGGCCCTCACGACAAGTCCGCTCCAAATGTGTTACCTGCTTCGGAAAGAATTTCAGTGTTAGAAGGAGCTAAACCAAATGGAGGAACGTCAGTATGATCCATGAAAGCAGAACTTGTGCTGCATGCCTCAGCTGGGGCACCAACATAAACATGCATGTGACAAACCTGTTCGCTCAGGGCCTGGACCCGGTCGTCGTTGTGGCCGTCTCCCTGCCCCTCCACCGCCTGGTTGTACTTCTGCTCTGCCTTCAGGTCGATCACCTCCGTCACTGCCACCTTGTACTTACACTCCAGGATCTCAAACCCGTGGATATCGGGATCATGGCAGCTGTTGACTGGTGGCGATACGGAGCCGCCGTCGGGTTTCTCGCTCTCTTGCGGGTCGTCGAGCTCTTTGTCTCCGTTGAGACGCTTTATGGCGTTGACGTGCTCTGTGAGGCGGTGGACCCGCTCGTTCTGCTCGGTCAGGGCGCCCTGTGTGTGCTGCAGCTGGGTCTGGGACTCCTGCAGGTTCATGAGCAGCGCTGCCTTCTCACGCTCCACCTGCAGGAGGAAAATACAAAACGAAATGCACAACATTCATTCATAGGTGGTGTTTCACGCTTTCAGACTGACATGTTACTGATCTGACTTTGACGTTTGGAGAACCTGCAACAAGACACTAATGAAAGCTACAGACAGACTCATGTTAAGCAAATGTGTACATTAAGAAGCTGGTAACGATAATTTAACATGCACTAACAGCGTGCAGCTATCGACGGCCTTTCTCACTGCACACAGATACGTACTGACATGTGGCTCAGCTTGCTTTTCACAAAACCTGCGAGGAAGACCGATGGGATGTGTTGTTTAATTGCGTCTCAATCAGTCATCCCCATTCTGTACTAACAGGGTGAAATGTTCTCACAACAAAGCCTCTGAGTAAAGCCGGATTCTAAAACTGGAACGGTAATTTGGGCCTGAAGTAATTCCTCAGATGAAACTATAAAAGCTCCTTCAGAGGGTCTATATTGAGAAATTCAAAATTGATTTTGCAAAGTTCAACTAGCGATTATAAGCCCGATGCTGCTGGCGTTCACATCTCTCCCAGACTAATCAACTGCAGAGAGAAAATTGATTAGCGAGTAATTGTGTTTACAGAGAAAGGGACTCCGCTAATATAGCAACCACTAATTTAATTTTCTTTCTCCCTGTGGAGCTCAGCTAGGGGGAAAAAATGTACAGTAATGACTTGATCTGATTTTAGCTTGACTCTGATCTTCCTACGGTTTCCGTGTCGTTTAAGATGCTGTGCGTAACTCCTCAGATGGAGGAAAAAAGTTCCTATGCTATATTATATCAGCTCTATTTATACTGTTCATATGGACACAGATAATTTCACTGCAGGGCTGGGAGTGCTGGGAGTGTTCGGCGCCTGTGAGGGAAACTTCTATAGCATTTCCCTTCCTGTTAGGATCTATATGTCTGTCACCATGCATCTAAAATAACAGCATAAACACACTGTCAACACTATGGATTTCAGTGGACAGCGTACCACCGTATGCAACAGAACCGTTCAGAAATCAAACATCCATTAAAGCCTCTGCTATTTCCCTGTTTTGTCATTTTTGCTTGCAGGACTACTTTCAAACCCCGTAAGACTTCACACACACACACACACACACACACACACACACACACGCACACAAAACTGAAATATGCTGCAGGAAAGTGGATCAATAGAAGTGTGCTGCTGGTTTCAACGCCCTCAGCGACACACTGTGACGTCAACGGCATCCTTGAAAATGAACATTCACTGATTCTAAACAAACAAACATGATTTCTATTGGCTGGGAATGTAAACAAACTCATTATGTGGGTATTTGATTTATTATTGGATGCACAGACGCTGCAATAAGACATTTACTTGTGACCCACCTGCAGCAGCTGCTGCTTGAGCTTCTGCATCTCCGACAGGTTGAGCTCACTGAACAGGTCCGGCACAGGGTGCAGGCCTTCTCCCTTCCGGCCCGGTCGGTACTCCCCATTCATCTTGGCCAGCCCCGTGCCCGTGTGGAGGTGGCCGTTGCAGCGGTTGATGTCGTCATTGTTGCCGTTAGCAGCAGGGATGGTGCTGCCGTTGGTGCCGTTGGTTCCGTTGGTCTTCTCGGGGAACTTGAGGCCCTCGACGCCTGTAACGGTGAGCGCCAGATGGGCCCCGGCGCCGTAGACGCTGTCGCTCAGGCTGATGTGGTGGGCCAGCTCCTTTCTCAGATTGTTCTTCTGCTCGCGCTCGCTCTTCAGGGCATCCAGGGCTTCTTCTAACTGACCCTCGGAGATTTCCTTCAGGCGCAATGCGTCTTCCAGCTGGCTGTTGAGAAGGACAGTTTCCTCCTCCAGCACTTTGATTTCATGTTTCAGTCCCTCGTACTCCACCTGGGGGGGAAACAGAAAGGACATGTGGGAACAGGAAAAAAAAATGGACTAGAAAATATTTAATTAAATTACTTGATTAAGCACATAATTAAATCGCCTACTCGTTCAAAATTGAGTGAGCTTATCCCAGGTCAATTAAAAATGAAAAGCCTTTTTAAAGCTTTGTTTTTATTCTACAGGACGGTCATGAACAGTCAAACAGAGCTGGATGATGTGATCACAGCAGGTAATAAAACCTTTAGGATCACTAAAACACACAACTTCTAAGTCTTACATCACAATAATGACTTCATGCTGATCTATAACCTTGATCCACTTCATTTCCCTTCAGGTAATAAAGATCGGGTCCATGACCACAAAAGCTGTTCAGGCACTGTCAAGCTTTGTGTTACTGGAAATGGAGAACTCATCGGCCTTTATCTCCCCTGTGGGGTTCTATGGGATGACTAACTCCATGAGAGCACTGTTTGGTCCAGTGCAGCCTGGAACGAATGCTGAGGCTGAGTCACGTGAGCAGGTGATGACAAATTTTTAAGAGATAAATTCACGGGTGACAAATGTTGCGTCACTATGATGCGAGGAAGGGTTTAGGGTGTTCTCTGTCACACTGACCTGGCTCTGCTTGAGCGTAGACACCAGCTTCTGCAGCGTGATGTTCTCCTCCTCCAGCTCCGTGTAGTCCTGAAGCAGCCTGGTCTCTCTGAACTTGTACTCCTTGATCTCCTCCCGCATCCTGCTCCGCTGCAGCTCCAACATTTCGTTACTCTGGGGTAAAAGAAATTTTAAAAAAGGTGTAAATACACCAGCAGGGGGTGAGATGTGTACAAAGAGAAGAGAGGAAGAAGAGGAACAGATTGGAGAACCGCCTCACACACACTGAAAAAGAAATGCACAACCGTGTATGAATGCTGCACCATGCACACTTCTCTGGCCTGATTGCATGAGGATGAAGTTTCTATGACGGTTTCATTATCTTATATGCAGTGAGTCAGCGCCCTCAGACTCCCACAAACACCATTAGTTCAGGTAACCTGCTGTGCACAGACAGAAACCTGAGCATACGGTTGACTAGATAAACTGTCGAAGGGAGGACTGCACCCAGCACAAAAGCCATAAATCTGCGTACAGTAGGAGTTACTTGGCAGCGCTGGGAATATGTCGACACCTCAGCAATATCATCTGCACTCACGCAGCGAGGAAGAAAAGGGACGCTAGCTTCCATCAAAGTATTCTAATTGTACTTTTAAGTAAGCTTACCTGTTGAAAGTGGTGATATAAGATAATGTAAACTCTTATTTCTTAATCCCTTAAAATGCTTCTATTTATAGTAGTAGACAATAGTTCCTGTATATTTCCCAAAAGTAAACTGCTCATTTTTTCACATCAAGTCAGCAAAGAAAAGCAGGAATCCTGGAATACATCGTAAATATGTTGATATTTTTACACAGAGACGTGACTAAATGTGTACAGAACAATGCCGTTACCGGGCAGAGGGCTCGTATGAAGCATAGAGCAAAAAAATAATAATGAAACATTTACAGTATGTGTGCGCATGTGTGCACTTGTCTTGCTGCAGAGCTGCCTGCAGCCCCCCTGCAGCTCCCTGTACATATGGCAGAAGTGCTGACCCAGAGACAGCGTCAGGAGTGGGTGGGTGCACACACAGGAGAGGATAGACCTGAGACACATATTAAACCTCCAGAACCCCTGTGTGTGTGTGTGTGTGTGTGTGTGTGTGTGTGTGTGTGTGTGGGAACAATGCTGCTTTTAGAACTAGCAACTGGACTGAAACTAAAGGCCATTATGATGCACTGGATCCTCTGATCTGTACAGTGGCTGACAGCAGCTCCTATAATCTTGAAGCTAATGGAGTAAACTGCAAAAGTCCACAGAGGCACAGTGGAGCTGCTTCTGCATCGGCTCTGAAAGGAACTTTTGTGGCATAACCTTGCAACTGAAAATCACACAAAAACACACTTTCGGATGATGTATTGCTAATTACAGCGACCTTTCGGTGCCGCATGTTGTTGAATTACATTTTGGTGACAGCGTGGGGAATTACACCGAGCAGGGTCTGATGTGGACAGGATTAGAGGCCAATTATCAGTCGGGGGGTGGAGGGGAGGCAGGGTAGAAGGGCAGCCTATCGGGGGGCTGCAGCAGCAGAGGTCAGGGACAGTGTGGCACAACAACATTGGCACCGAGCCTGCCACGGGGCGAAGCTGGTCACCCAAAGCCCTGACCCAGAGATCACAGCGCTGTGTGGCTACGAGAGCTTTGACAAATTATGGCAAGCATAGCAGAAGCCCAGTCGTTCATCATTAGCATCGCTGCTGCTGTGCATAAATACAGAATGGTAGAGCAGCCTGAAGATAAAATAGATTTTAAATGGGTCGCATATTTGAAGCGTAAATTGATTGTTGCTATAAAAATTATTTTTTTCTCCAGGTTTAGGCCCAGGTTTCCTTCTTACTGTCTTGCAATATATCAAAACCCAAGAAGTGCTTGTGAATCATCATAAACTCCTCGCTTTATGCACCAGTTACATGAAAGGAAACTGGGTTCTCTGGTTTAATTTAAACACATGATATTTATATTTCCCAACAAGAGTTATGCCGTGATTTCAACTCATTTCATTTTACTTTTATTCTCATTTTCTGACTCACAGCTGCAGACCACAAACACCAAATGTTTATGAGCTAAAATAAATTTTCCCAGCAAGTTCCTGAAACCCATTTAACAGTGTTTCTGAAAGCCTTCTCAGAATCTGCAGAAACCCTTTGATTTGTCGTGACCGGTGCCAAACGAAGCTCCAGCGGGGCTACAACACCTGCTGCTCCTCCATGAAAGGGCTGCTCCTCCTCATTAATGGAGCATCACATGCGCAAATGAGGATTTCAAAGAGAGGAAGAAAGGCAGCGCATAAACACACAATCAAAGAGCCATAATCACGGTTCAAGCAGGTGACATTTGGAACAACTCATCCTGAATATATCCACTCAACTTAGCAGGTAATTAGCTTTTTAGTCAAAATACAGATTTGGTTTGATGTGTGACAGCATGTGGAATATCTTTACTTATGTTGTGAGCTCTGCCTACATCCACCGTGACATCTGACACAGTTTGAGAGCCTCCCATCGTTCCCTGCTCGGTTTAGTGAATGGGAATGTGTGTCCTGTGGGTGTAGCGCCGGTTGTGTGGCGAGAGCAACCTGGCTCGCTCTGTCCCTCCACATGTGCCGAGCTCAGGGCATTTCACTTATTCCCCAGCTTAGCACCGGATTTGCCCCCCACAATGGGGTCGTGGCCGCAGTGTCTGACCCCAGCTCGAACTCCTGCGCTTCCCGACACGGCGGCTGCAGACATATATGCTCACATAAATGTGCACTTTGCATGGACGCAGATGTATGATCTGACCCCATTCTGTCCCTCGCAGTGACCTGTTGGCCTTCAACAATCATAGATCTTGGGTAAGTTAATGTAGTACAGAAAAAAAGGCTGTGCAGATTGTGGGAAGCAGTCCATTTTAAACTATCTATTTGTTTTTACAGATTGTTTTACTCCTGAGTGACCTTTTTTTTAAAAACTCTTCAAGTTAGCTCAACCAGGAAATAAGGAGAAGTTTTTTTTTTTTTTTAATTTCTGGGATGCAAAATCTATTCAGGTTTCAAAATAAAAGACATTTTTAAGTCAGACTTGATCTCCAAACTGTGTGCATCAACAGGTTAATTTGCACATACAGTCGTCAAAATAAAACTCCTTTTCAAACTATAAATAATAGTGCAAGGACAGCATTTTAAATTCTACGTTTTTACCATCTATACATAAAAACCCCTATTAACTAAATAATAGCCCCTCTTTAATACTTTGGGTACCATTAAATCGATGCATGTCCGAGTGCATGAGTCCTGCTGCCAGCTCCTGCAACGCTCTGCTCACACATATTCGATAAGCCTGATTGCCTGTATTTTCCTGCTCTAGCAAGCAATAAATCTTGTGTGTGCTGTCTGTGTTTTGACAGGCTCACCTCCCGCAGCTCCTGCACCAGAGCGTTGAGCCTCTCGTTCTCGGCCTGGGCATTGGATGCCACGGAGCGGCTCAGCGTCACCTCCGTCTGCAGCTCCAGCAGCCGGCCCACGTAGTAGGCCTCCTTAGAGGCCGACTCCTGCAGCAGCGTCTCCTCATTCGTCTCCCCGTCCTCTGCCACCTTACGCTGGTTGGTGTAGGCCTGGCCGAACGCCTGCGGAGGGATGCAGAGGGAGGGAGGGATGGTCAGATGAAGGGGGAGGAACCAGTGCTGTTGTAAAGTCAAAATTAAAATGACACTGATCCAAATCCTGTCATATTGCATCGACTTCCTAATCCATGCCAGAGGGATTTGCACCCACTTCCATGAGAAAAAATCTTCCACAGTTGTGGCTGCCGGACATGCTCCTGCTGTGCTTTTGCCCACTGGCAGCACTGACAGCACAGTTGCAGGGGCCGCCCCAGCAAGGATACCTGCTGTCTGTCTATATGGCTGATGTTTCACTCTGATCAATAGACACAGTGTTCCCATTCTCCTGACACAGGTTTTCACAGCGCTGAGAGCTGACTTGTCATGATAAAGGAGCTGAGGCTTGATTGAGAAAATCAAAGCAGGCATCAACAGGGAGGAACAGGCCAACTATAGGCGACCTACTGCAGGAACGAATGCACAAAAGCTGAGTAGAATACACGGACCAAAAGCATGCAAGATGAAGGGAACAGCGTAGTGTTTGTGTCGCCTGAGGCTGCAGTATTTTTCTCTCCTAGCGTAGACCAGATTTCATGACCGGTAACCGCACACTGCATGACATCCATGCAGCAGCGGCTTCAGTGGTTCGATAAATACTATGAACCATCCTTCACTCTGCACACATATCAGCAGGAAAATAAAAACGGTGTCCGCAGTGGCCTCTGCAAGAGACGATGGATCGATGCAGCACCGCCCGAAAAATATCAACAATTACAAAAAAAAATAAAAAATACAGCATGTAGAGTTTTTTTGGGTTCTTAGAGAGAGTCACTCGACCAAATGGACCATGAACCCGAAGCGATAAGGGAGCCGTATATTCTGAACTAGATGTATAAATAATTCACAAACAGGCTTCCCGATGCCACCTCACTATAATAACAACCTTTTCTCTGCTGCAATGAATCATTTATAAGGTACAAGTTTCCATTATTTGGGAAAGACACGAGCCCAGTTGTCTTATTTTCCCACCGCACGAGTTATTTTTCTGTTTACTGGCAAACAAACAGGTCAGACAGTCGAGTGTGTGCAGCTAAGGACAGATGCTGGAGTTTGGAGCTGCTCTTCCTCAGCGTGGTTGCTTTTGAGGGAATGAGGTGATGTGATTTACCACCGAGGAGATCTGAGTGCCATCCAATTAACGGTATCGACCACCTCCCTCTGTCACATCTGACCTGCTGTTTGTCATCATCAGGGAACCGGCGGAGCAACAGTGGAAGCTGGAGACAATAGATCCGGTCGACAGCGTGCTGACATGATCGCTGCAGTTACAATCAAACAGCTCAAATAAATTAAAATAATAGATTCACTGTTCAGTTTCCTTTAAATACTGTACATTCAGTAAACAGATCAGCATTCATTCACGTCAGAGGACATGTTTATTTAAATCTAATAGACCCCAAATGTGCCGGTTAGCATATGAATGAGTGTAATAATCTACAAACCTCCATAAATACACAAAAAACCAACATTTAGCTATTTACTGTTCAGCTGTCCTCAAGGACTTTCTTTGTAATGACTAAAAAGTACAGTTTTATAATGGGCTTGGTTTTCCCTCCCTCTCTCTGCCCTTCTTTTATTTTTCGCTTTCTTTCGCGCTCTCTTGTTCGCTCGCCCCGGCGCCCTCGCCCTCGCTCTCCAGGGAGGCACTGTGTGATTGTAGTGAATGATTAAGACGAGCGGCCCCTGGAACAAAACAGCTGATTAATTCAAGGCACAGTGTGACTGAATGAGCTCGCCCGTCAACGTCCGAGCAGCTGAGACCTACAGGAGGGACAAAACCCACTCGAACACTCAGCATTATCTACTCCTCAGTGCATTTCTGAACCATTATGTTTTTTTAGAGACACTATCTTGACTGTAAGTTCAGTTTGAATCCACAAGCAGCAGCCAGTTAGCGTAGCTTAGCACAAACACTGGAGTCGGTGGGAAACAGATGAAATGAGGTGGAAAATTGACAGTTTGAAGTGCTGTGGACCGGAGTCAGAGGTTTCTAGCCAAGAAAAAGTCTGGCACATAACCCCCCTGTAAAAACCACAACCTGTCATTTTTTCTTTGCTTTTTTTTGTGCAGATTAAACAAAGAAGAGTTCATCCCCTGTTCTCTGTTGGTGTTAAACTCAACTAACTGGTTGTAGATTTATATTTAAAGGACAGATATGAGAGAGCTGATGGTCTTTGCACAAAGATAAATATTCCCCATAAAGTCAGACTTCAACAGCTAGAAAACAAAAACACTGAACACTCTGACACCAAATACTCAATATTTCCATTTCTTTTTTCAACTGACACATTTTCTCCTTCATTGAATCCCGGCTAATCCTGCTGATGAACAGAGAATCTGGCAGAGAGGCATGAACCACACAGTCGCAAACGCAGGTGGTGATTCAGCAGCTCCTCGTCCAGAGAATCGGTGGATGCACGACGAGAAGCAGATGGTTTCATAACAGCCGACTCCTTCACGGGATGAGCCGGGCTACTCCAAGCCCTCCATCTGTGTGCTCCTCTTAAAGGAAACCACAGTGAATGACACTAATGGCCGCGGCCCAGTGTTCACTCATAAAGGAGCACAGTGTTCTCCGGACCTCCCGTAGCTGTTGCACCGTCGAGCTTCTGCTGGGCTAAAAATAACAACGTGACAGCAACGCATTTTTCATGCTAATTACATGAACAGCTCAACAATGCTGCACGCTGCAGTGATGGATCTCCAGCGACCCTGTATCTGTGTCCTAATTGGCTGCCTAACATGTGAAGAACAGCGAAGAAGATTAAAGTTTAATACCAGCTCCTCAGGATGATGCTCATACAAGGCCACTCATTTGGATCCGTGTACTGAAAACCACATAATTTATTCAGTCTCGAGGCTCCTCCTCACCCTCATGAGCCTCAGTGTTTAAAGTCTTGACAATGGAGTCCCCTTCTATAGATATTCATCCCTGGGGCCATAGCAGGAGGAGCAGACGGGGGGAACAAACCAACCGCTGCACCAGCGAGAGGAGGAGTGTAACCCTGAAATCCTTCCCTGTCTGCTGCAGTCCCTAATGAGGAGTCCAGGGAGGGCCTCTGGGTGCGCGATCTTGTATTTGCGAATGTGTACGTACAGCAGGAATCTATTTTTACACCCAGCAGGGAGAAGTGAGGACTATTTCTGCAACAGCAATTAATCTTCACCAAACTTCCATCATTAAAGGAGGTCTAATCAGTAATACAGACTGTAACGAGGAGGTTATTTATAGATGATCATCCAAAGCCAGGAGATGCAGCCTTGATTACATTTTCAAAGTCAGAGAGCGAAAGCTCAGCGCCGAATGCACACGCTGGAGGTTGTGAATTATAAGCAGCAAACCCAATTATATGATTTATTTATGTCCTCAGATATTCACATTCTAATTAATGCGTATTTTAATTAGATAATTTATCCTTAATTGTTTGTCATTTACAGTCTAGAGCCCGACGGCAAAAACTCTAATATCAATGTGTATTATTTTTATACATACGTATGTTAGAGTTACACTGAAAAATCTAAATGATGGGGTCACTGTTTATTAACTCTCCAGCTATATTTCTCCAACTTGTTGGCAGCTTATCGGGAAGACACGGCTTGACTCCGCACCACCGTCTCAGCTACATGTGCTGCAGACAGCGCTAGGAGTCACGGCACACTCTGGTGGACAAACTATGTGATGAAATTAGCTTAAGCTTCTCCTCCATGAAACAAATAAAATGATATATAACACTCTACTCTATCCATATATCTATGATATATCAAAAACACTAAATCTAAACCGATAAACTCGTCGGGCTCTCCACTCAAATATTAACTTTGAACGTGACAAAATATGGATTTAAACTGCGTCGTGATAAATGCGGATTAGAGGCGGATTACAATCAATTACTGCCACTAATCCATTTATATTTTATGAAAGTACAAGATGAGGGATGTTCTAGGTTTAATGCTCAGGTTGAGACACGACAGCCACGAACGTTGATCACTGAGGGACCCAAACATCGACCAGAACGCAGCTCGCCAAGCGCTAATCTCTGCTGCTGCAAAAATAAGTTATGGGGAAGCAGAAATCAGGGTTTAGTCGCTCATAAGAAGCAAAATTCTTATGAATAACATAAACACCAATAGACATGGAAAGACACACACACACACACACACACACAGGGTTGTGTCGTGTCCAGATGGTCGGCCCAGCCAACCACGTCAGGGATTTCAGTACCATGGAGAGAGACAAGCAGGACTGCTGCTGAGAAGCCACGCAGCTGTCAGCATCATGAACACTGTGTGTGTGTGTGTGTGTGTGTGTGTGTGTGTGTGTGTGTGTGTGTGTGTGTGTGAGAGAGCAATCAGACATGGTGAGGATGATGATATAGATAAAGAGAAAGGAGAGAGCGAGGCCTGTTTCCTGCTGCAGACCTGCATGTCAGAGCATCCCAGCTGCTGTACAGGTGGTATTATTAGTTCATCCTCATTCGCTCTTTCACTCAGTCGCCGTAAAGCTCGCCGTGGCACCGTCACAAGTGTTTGAGAAGGGGCCGAGTAATTCATTTGTTTGACCAAAACCAAAATGGAAACACTGCGTCACTTCCAGCAGCGATCAAAACAACCGCCCAGGAGCTCATAAATGATCACGAGAGCATGAAGAACGCGACGAATGGAAAAGACAGAAGTCAGAAGCAGTATGCGATGTGTCAACCTGCATCCACACAGAAGCCTACAGTGGGTGAATAACACAAACAGAAGTGCACAAGTTGTGTTACTGACTCACTCGCTTTGCTCTGTCTGGCTGTAGTGCACTAGTCTGGGAAGGTAAACAGAACGAGAGGGAAAAGTTGAGTTCCTACTTTAAATATAAAGTGTTTGTATAGTACACATTATCTCATTTCATGTTGAATCGGTAGAGAAATGTCCCCAGTTTGTTTAGTTTTTCCTGCAAACTCACAATTTAGCACAACGTCCCC